TTCAGCTACAATAGCATTTATAGCTTATACTGTCAGCCATGGAGTCACTGAATGGAGTTTTGTGACTCAGGATTCCAGCATTCTTGTGTTGCATGTTGCTCTACACGGATTAGTATTTCTGATAAAACATCTAATCCATCTAGTTGCATGCTGAGTATATACTGCACTCTTCTGTATATATAACCCTGCAAATAACCCTGATATTTAGTGAGATGCTGGGTACAACTCCAGACATCTGAAAAGCTTAGTAGCCTCTCTGATTTTACAAGTGTAGTAGACTGCAAGTCTTCAGAAAGTTAAGTTGCAGCAACTGCATTTGATTGTGGGACATTGTAAGTGTGCATTTCCTAACTGTTCTGTATTTGAAAACTCTAGATTTTATTCTTTTATGTACTTTGCATTTAATAAAGAAATGGCAATAAAAATCTACTGATTTCAGCTGTCATATTATATGGAAAGCTCTGTCTGTTCCAGTCCAGCTAGTCTGTGTACTATCTGTATGATGTTGTATACACCAAAATCAGCAACATTATGTTAAAAAAATCAGCTGAAAACCCATACTCCAGAGAAGTGACAAGAAATGTCACAGTTAGAGTATCAGTATTACCATACGGACATGAAGCACTGTTCATAAGACCACATGAATTGTATGATGCCACTACTGCTGTTTCAGGTATGCAGCGAAATTTTTTAAGTGCTTGAAGAAGGACTTGTCAAGAAGTGCACGTATCTATTGTGAAAAATGTTTCTGCCTGTCTCTGTATTAACAGTCTTCGGTATTTCCAATGCTATTAACACCTCAAAAAGGGCTTGGTTTCATTTTGTTCTGCTTCACACACCTGCTTGGAGGTAGGCATCACATAAAAGAAAGCAGGGGACATCCAAAGAGTGGAGAAATTTTGCACTGATTTTAATTAAAAAATTATTGCTCTGTTCATCATGAGTGATAAAGCGCCATTTACAACACGAGAAAATACAAACTAGAACCTCTTTACACAACTCCCTTAACCTGATCTTTTTGAGAAGAAACAGTAGTTTTGTCTCAGAGGAATAATAAAGGATGAGGAAAGAGAGGGCCTAAACTATAGGGGTCTTTACTGAAAATTTTGATGATGAACATCATCTTTGTTTTACATTTTTTGCAAGCATTACACAGTCAGAACTTTTCACCTTCCCATTCTTATTCCTAAAGTGTTTTTTTGACTCTTGGATTGAACACATAAACAAGTACACACAAACAAGTACACAAAAACACAGTCACAGAGGCACACACAAACACAAAAGCAAAACAGGAGAAGAGAGAAGAATTACCAGCAAACTAAGATTGCATCAGTGAAACTGAGAGAATTGCCCCACTGACTGCTACCAACACCCAAAATGGTGAATTGATTCTGTCTTTAAACACACAGAAAATAAGTAATACCAGACTTTTTCTATTCTTGGAAACTACCAAACCCTTGTTTAGGCAAAAACTAATTCTAAAAAAGATTCAGAAAACAAAAATATCCTTGTCAATCTAGTAAAATATCTCTAGCCCACCTCTAGGGCTATGTCACCCTTCTCATACAATAGTCTTAATTCATTTCTTTGCTCTTTACTCATTTTTTCAGTGTCTTTCTTTCATCCTGCTACTGCACTTTTTTCAGCTTACTGTTTCCTCTGTGGTCTGCTTTTTCCTCTTCTTTAGAAGTCACGGACAGAAACCTTGTCAGTGAAAAATCCCACTCGAAGCCTGTCATTCAGTATTTCCTCAGGAAGGAGAGGTCCTGGCCAAGGAGATGTTTACAATGCATGAAGAAATGTGCAAGAGAAAAATGTGCAACCTTCTTCTTCTAGCTTGAAATTCAGGAGCTATCCAAAAATAATTTAAAAATTCATGTTTTTACATAAGCATTATTTAGTGAATTATGCAAAATGAGCCAGTGAAATTGAACTTACATGGTAAAAAAAGTATTCCAGCCTGTATCACTACTGCCAGTAGTGTAAACCTGTGGAAGAAAAGCAGAAGAAAGGGCAAGAGAGAATTGAATTTTTATCTAGGTGGAGAGTTTCTCTGATCAAGAGACATGAACCCATTCACATACAATCCCACCACTATCGGATAGAACCCACACTAGCTAAGAAAAATATCATGATAATTTAATACTTTGTGACATCTAGAATGTAACTATTTCTTCTTACTGTGTCTATATAAGGAAATTGGAGGAAATGAACAGGTATAAAGTGCATTACACAAACTAATGCAAGATTTCTGTAGGTAGCACCAAGTCTGACCACATAGTGGCAGAACAGGGAACTGTCTGCGAGACTAGTGCTTTTAAGTGGGGAAAAAAATGGATTCCCCAGTCTGAATTTCTTTAATCCATTTCATTACATTACAGACAATTATTTTGTTATATTTATATACCTGGGAATACACAGGCACTGTATGAGCAATGATGTGTTTCCTCTTGTAAAAAGTATTTTTGACCTGAAGTTTTGGATTCCACATGTTGTGCAGTGCTCCACCTTGGACAGTACTGTAGGGATGAAGATTTGAGTTTAGGCAACTTAAATTTTAGTTAATCCTCTGTGCCACCCCTGGAGGTTCAGCCTCCAGTGCATTCAGACCTCAGATGCAGAACAAGTTGACCTCTTAGAAATGGGTTCTGATTTCTGTGTCTGCCTGGGCCTGAACAATATAACAGGCAATGATCATAAAGTATGCCATGTTCTACAGGGAGAAAGTCAGGATTTCACATTTTGACTAAGACTTCATATGTTAAGACCTAGGCACTGGCAGAATGAGACAGCTATGCAAGAGCAGCAACTGCACACTCTGCACATTCAGAAAAAAGCACTCCAATATATGTTTAATTTCACTCCAGACTAGTTACAGCCTGGAATTTAAATGCCTTCTCAAACACAGTCATATAACAGACCTACAGGTCACATAAACAAGGTTCTCTCATATTTATGGGTTATTGATTAGTCCTACTGAAGTCAGTGACTTCTCCCACTTTTAGGTATTATGTTAAAATACATCTGGGGCAATACAGTTTGACAAGCCAACAATGAGTAATAAGGAACTAAAATATGAGCAGTTCTTAGACTGAGAGAAATGTACTTTCTTATTTTGATATTTGAGCATCTAACAAAACATACGTGGTTTCAGTATTGGGCAGGTCCTTCCTTACCACATCATCCCATCCCGTGTTATATACCTATTCCTATATTGGGCAAACTAATATAATTCAGGTACTGCCAAAGGAAAGAAACAGAATTTCTGGGAGAATTAAAAAAAATACATGCATAAAGAGACTAATACCACTTCTTTTTTTCACATTCAAAAGGGAAACAAAAATGTTTTTAAAAGTTCTGAAAGTTCTGAATTATTTAAAATACTATTTTGAATATTTAAACCAGATTCTAAGTGTTTGATAAAATCTCCAGCAACAAACATGCTCATATTAGAAGATAGGTAGAGCATAAGTCATTTCCCATATTTAGGCATCAGCTTCTTGGTAGTAATTTCTCAATTGATAATCAAAATTATCATTTTCTAATGTGTTTTGAAGACCAGATGAGCAGATTTATTGTAAGTTAACATCTTACGAGGTAAAACAGTTGAGTGGTCTCAACCTTACAGAGCTAAAATTAGCAACCACATGATTTATGAACAGCAGAAGATGAGGTTTGAAAAATCATGAGAAATAAAGACATGACAGTTTCACATTCATTTCCAGAGATAACTTCTGCCCTGTCTATGTCTTTTCATGCATTTGACCACAGTGTAATTTTCCATGAACTGACACTGCTCTACTCCCTTATTGTCCTATTCTTCCCCAGCTACAGGAAATATTCTAAATAAATTTTGATTGGGGGGGGGGAAATAAAAAAAAAAAGAAATCCAAACAATATGAATTTCTGAGTTCACAGGGCTTTTAATATACAAATGCAAGAGTGAACCCTTACCCCTTCCCTCTCATCACTCCTAATAATGAAAGCAAAGCTGCGAAGATGTCTGTGAACAGAACACATTTTGAATAGCACTACTGAGTTTCATCTGAACAGCTTCTGAGAACCTGTCCTGACATCTTTCCTTGGCTGTTGACAGTGTACAAATCTTACACGGGCAGATGTCTGTAAAACTCCAAGAGGTTTGGTCCTTGTGAGCATTACATAAAAGTCATGAGACGGTGATAGCTGCACAGTCTGCTCACAACCAGAATTGAACTGGTACTCTTAAGGAATGAATGAACTAACAGTTGTGTTTGACCCAGCAAGTTTCTTTAACTCATCCATCTGGCTTCTTAACTTGTTGACTACATAATTTTGCATAATAATAGAATTATTATGCAATTTTTTATATTTTTCAATCACTGTCAAACATAGTAGTTGGGTTTAAGGAAAGGAAATCATTAAAAATCCAATAAAGACAGTTTCCTAATTAAGCTAGTTATCATTACTACCATGAAAACAGTAAAGAAATCCAAATAAATTTGGTTATGGTTCCTTATTTAATCTACATATCTAGAAATATTTAGATAGATTCTGTACCATGATCTATGTGATACATAGAATATAGACCCTTAGACTGGTCTCTGCTGATCCCAGTCTTTGAACAATTCAAGGCAATTTACATTAATTAGCATGTGGTTCTTAGTGGGGATGCTAAGATAATGTAAAATTTATTACAAGAAGCAAAGCTAAAAGCAGCACCTAAGACTTTATGCTGGCACTTGCTCGTGGATTTGATCCATGTTTGCTAATTCAATGAAAAAATATGTGACATTACTCTTTAGAGTTAGAATATTTTTCCTCTAGGGTAAGACAAGCTACTAACATTTCACATGATGGACAGCTAAGGAAAATTACGTTCTCTTAAATAATTTGTACTATCTTTTGCCATGTTTCCCTTGGAAGGAAGACACATATTTTGAATTCTTGAATAGGCTAAATACATTAATCACTAGCTTTCAAGGAAAATAAGTCGTAAGAATGAGCTCAAATAACCATTGTTAAAAAGCCTTGCTGCTGTGTTTGCTCTCCACAGATTCATGGCATTTCCACAGACAAGCCATTCCATCTGTTGCAGCAGAAGGGAGCTTGCTCTGATCTGGGCTAAGGGCTATATGCAAGACTCTCCTTTTCTGACTGTATAATAAAATATGTACAAAAGAAAATGAAAGATACAGCAGAATTCTACACTAATTATGCCAGACATTTTCACCAGCCCCACCCACACTATGGCTTGTTCCATTTTTACTGTAGCAGAAAAACATGCTGCATAGGATGTGGGAAGCTGGGATTATCTGTCGAATATTTTCATATTAATAAAGAGCTGAATGCAATGTATTCTTATTAGACATCAGGCTTTAACTGACAGGACTGCACCACATTGAGGAGATATTTCTGTCCAAGGAATACATTGAACCTGAACTCTTGAGTCTCTACACATTTACAACATCAGTCTCATCTGTATTTGGTAATGTCTCTCACTTCTGAGCTTTCCCATCTTGCTGCACAGGCCTTGCAGACAGTTTGTAGCTGATCCAACAATAATGAGATAGCGTCTCCAGCTACTTGGCTATTACTGTTAAGATCTTTCAACAGTGATCCCACTAAATCATTTGGTGAAATTGTGTCTTGACTTTGTCTGCAGTGGCAGTAAACCTCGGGTCTATACACTGAAGGCAAGAAGCTCCCTCAGTCTAGCAGCACAAAGAATGCGCAAAACTCATCAACCTGGTTATAGAAGAACCTCCCTCAGTAGAAGCAACTGATTTTGAACTGAAGGCAGAAGGAATCTGATACTAAACTGAGACTGTTGAGAGATGTATTTACCAAACTGCTCTGCCAAAGACCTCCTGTATCATCTAACAGTATGTCAATGCTAAGCAAACCCATGAGGTTTTTAGGCACAGAGTGGCGTGAGAAATTTGAAGCCCTTTTCCTTGTTACTGCCCATTGGCTTCTCTGGCTGGGTGAGTTACTGACAATCGCATAGCTAAGCTAGTCACACAAGGGGAAACAAAAGCTTCTGAGTCATAGTTTCTAAAAAGACCAGATGAAGCCCATCCTAAAAGTAAGTGTGAAGGTAAGAAATCATGTGTGACCAACTTAAATGAATGTGGGTGACCTATGTTCCTCCCATCACCTGTACCTGAGTTTTCCATGAACACAAGAGGATTGCACTTGTCTGGCTAAAAATGTTATGGGGATAAACATGTGAGAAACTGTAAAGCCCTCTGAAACTGTGGTACTTACCACAATGGTACCCGATGAAGCCTCAAAGGACTGTTGCAAATGGACAGAATCCCCCAACTTTGTGAACCTGCTACAATGGCTCTTTGGAGACATTGTAACTAAAAGCAAATATATCTGCTGTCCTGGTGCTGAGTAATATGAGTTCCTCCTAAACTTTGTGACTTGAATTTCAACACCACCATTAAATTATTTCAGCAGAGATTAATTTTCAGGTTTTGCTCCTTCTCAAGTTACTTAAATGTACACAGTCTTTGCTCTATATTTAGGACCACGAGCTTACGGTTCAGTGAATTCTCTACACTGTGTCCATTCAGTGTCTATAATGATTTTGAAGGAAGAGCTTGAGATGTAGTCTTTGGAGGCATCCAAAACTTCCACAACATTGACCGAAATTTGATTAATAGTCTCAGTCAAAAAGTTTTTTGAGTGGAGTTTTCTGCGTTTATTTCATTGTTTCAAGATCACATTCAGGTCAAGTATTTTTCAAAGCAATTACATACCTTGCTTGCCTGTATGTTTTCTTTGATCTGCAACAATTTTTCTAAGGGGAGGGCATTTACAGCCCAAATTATTCTCTTTTTTCCTAATAAATTACTCTAATAGTTCTATCAGAAGTATCTCAAAAGTGGACTGNAAAATCTTCCAGTTGTTGTTTTCTGAATATGCTAAGTGATAGTCAATCTTAATTACTAAAGTACTCAACAGGTACTGATGGATCTTCATCGTTAGCTGGGGTCTTCAGCATTTGCAGGAGCATTAAACAGTGAAAATCAGTTACAATTTATCTGATGATTTCTTTGGATGTAAAACTTCTGTGGTTAAGGGTGTCTCAGGTTGACTTAGAATCATCTCATCCATCACAATATTTTTGTGAGCTTATTTTGATACATCCACAATTTCTTCCAACATTAAATTGCTTATAGCAAGTTATTAAGAGTCTTCATAAGCAGGAATATGTCTGTGTAGCAATAACCTGGTCTTTTTTTTCATGAATATCATCAGAAACAGAGAGGTTTAATAGCAAGGACCAGCTTCTGTGTATAGTGGAGCCCTACAGCACTATATAAAACTACAGAGCTGCAAGGAAAGCAGCAGGTTACAAGGGAAACACTCTGCACCACATTGCTTCACAGCCAAAATCATTCCTTAAAATCCAAACAGCTCTAAATAACACATGGATATTTGTTTCAAACACCATTTGGAAGCTAGTTCAGTATCCTTGCATAATGAGCTGCAAAAGCAGTCATATCTAGGTTATATCACTTGGAGGGTCATCAGCCTAGAATATAATGGAAGGAACCTGATATTAGCAGATTCAATTCAGGCCTAATAAGCCTCAGGAAGAAGTGGAAATACATATCCTGAACCTGGCATGGCCTTAGAAATTATAGGAAAGTATCCCATCATTAAAACCAAGGAATTTCACAAGAGCAACATGTATCATTATCTTAATAAGTCAATATTTACAATCCCACAATCAGGACTGTGCACATGAACACATCTATGTAGGCAGAGGGAGGATGTGAAGCTCTATACTCTTTTCTTACACAAATGCATAAGGTATGCACTTGTAAAACCACACTGATTAGATAGATAACTGAAATAGTTAAAGCTATTAACTGAAACACTTGCCATAGAGTTCTGATGAATTGAAAAGTATGGGATACTTCCATATTTTCATCCGATTTTCAAGAAGGCTTTGTCCTATAATCAGTTCGCTGGTTTTGGGTAACCAGATCAAAGAACAAATCCATTGCAATTTAAAATTCTGCTTTAGTTTTCAGAAAGGTTTAGCATACACCATTCAGAGACTTGAAGTGTTATCTACAATGTTTAAACAAGCTACTGGGAAATAGCCACAGCAGAATACTCACTTTTTTAGAGGGATCATTCAATTCCTTACAGCTCTTCAAAGTACAGTTGCCTTGTTGTCCTATCTAAACATGGTAATAACCTATCACTATAAAACCAAAGCTCTTAAAACACATCCCCAGCTAAGTTTTAATAGCTCCAGCAAAGCAACAGTTATGCTGCTTTATTACAGCTGAGAACCTGTTCCTCTGTCTCCTAATTTTCAAGAGACAGATGTTTGCCTTCTGACTCTTACACCTCTCCTTACCCCTATGCTCCAGGAAATTTTTCTCCCCTTCAACATTCTCTCCACATGAAGAGCTTTGGCCAAAACTATTATTACCAATAGGGAAATAAGATCAGAAGTATGACCATCTCCTCCTCAGTCACTTTGGTATGCAGACAGAAGTGGTGAATGAGAAACAACAAGCAGCTTCTGAATCCAATCACATCCTGCAGTGCTGAATGTAGCACAGTTGCACATCCAGAAAAAATCCTGCTGTTCCTGTGACTGCAGAACCAATCTCCAAGTCAGTTGGAGTTTGCCAAATGAGCACAGCTATACAAAAAGAACACAGCCTAAGTATGCAGACATTTCATCATTTCACCTGAGAATCTGTAGCTGCACTTTGGATGATTTTCTCACAATTTATTTCCCAGACACTGAAAATCCCATCTTTCATTCCACCTCCTGTAGCAGGGACTTTGGTCTGCCAAGGACACCAAATAAAAAGATAACACATGCCAGAACAGAATAGGAGGTTAGCTGGAAGAACAGAGCAGTTTTATCTTAGCTGGAAAAATGAACAACAACAAGCACCCAGAATGTACACACAGTGCAGAGTAGGATCCCAAAACTTCAAATGACGCTTCCCTTGCCATTGCTTCACAGTAGCCTACACAGTCCCACATACCCTCATAAAACTCCAGCTTCCCTCCTTATCCTTAACAGGTCACAGACTTACACCTCAGTACCAGGAGAACCCAGAAGGATGAAATCTTACTGCCTCAGTCAACCCATCACGGAAGTCTAAGCAAAGTTACCTACGGGGCTTACAAGAGACGTAGTTTTTTCTGGAATATTTCAAGGACATGCCTAAGGCCCAGAATCTACTTGAAAAAAAGTTTCTCAGAACTAAATTCCACCTCTTACAAAAAAATTTTCTGACCCCTTAATCCTAGCACTTTATGGCCAGCCTCAGATCCTTTTGTGAGGATAAACGGCTTATAAGTGCTGGACTCTCCTGCCTCTTATTGTTAATACTTGACCTATCTCCCACACATACTGGGACTTCATGAAGAATCCCAAATAATTTCATTTAGAGTTTCCTTCTTCAGATTATTTGACACCAGCAACAACATGAAAATATGGGTAGGAGGGCAAAAGATACCTCATATATTAAATTGATTGCAGCAGAAAGAATTTCCCAAAACTCCCAAGACTGAAATACCTTGTTTGCAAACTTGTGAGTATTGCACCACCAAACTTTTCTGTGCAAGGTAAATATATAGAGAAGAACATGGTAAAAGTTATTTCTGTTTGCCAATAGATTTGCAAAGGCCTTCTAATCCAGTAAAATTTCCTAATGAAAACCCTAGCAAACTTATCTATGAGGAGAACTGGTCTTAAAGTTAACTGCATCACAGACAGAAGAAACTAATAGATATCAGTGAGATAATTTGAAAAGTTTTCTAACTGTACACATCAACAATGTGCTTTCATGAGAACTAATAAAGAAAAACAGACATTCCTTCTTCATATACTTTAACTACTGAGGTATGGTTCTCAGTGGCTGTGACTGCAATTTACACTAGGGTCACTAGGCCAGATATTCAATATACCACCACTAGACTCATCTGCCAGCAACTGGTTGGTTAGTAACCATTTCAGGCTGCAAATGCCTTTTTTGTTTTGGCAAAAACAGCACCAGCCATGGTGCTGAGCAACCAGAACATCATGGTGATGAATAGAAATTAGTCATGAACCGCTGTAGCATGGGTTTAATGATAATGATAAAGAAGGCAAGCTACTTCCTCACACTGATGCTTCTTCAGTGGTTTCAGAAGCAAACCACATCAGAGTGAAATGAGTCTGCAGAACAATACTATTTCAGTAAAAGGAAACTCAAGCCAACTATCAGAAGCACACCCTGACTGTAAAGGTGGCTGACAACAGAAAGGAGCCAAGCAGCTACTCCTTTCAAGCCAGGCAGAACATCCGTTCTCCCTCACAGTATCATTTCCATGAGGACATATCACACTGCATGCCACTAATCTGCACCCTGTTCAACTGTCAAGCCATTTAATGTAAATGATTTCCTGTTCTTCATGAATTTTTTTTTGTAAGATGGTTCTTGCCAAGGTCAGATATGACTCCACACCCAACAAAAAGACAGTGTAAAACTGCATTGCACTGGTAAAGGACTTACTAGCAAGTAACTGTGGTCTTTGGTTCTGTCCCTTCTCTTATCTCCTTTCTCCCTCTCACTCCAAGGCTTACAGAAAATCTGCACAGCTTGATACTGTTGCACTAATTTCCCATTAGGAAATAGATGCATGGCTCTACAAAAAAAAAAAAGGAAGGAATACCTTGCCTGGAAGCACAGCTACTGTTATAGCTCAGCTCCTAGGTATGCGTTTTACACATCAATAGTGGAGTCAAACTGAAAATATTAGAAGTACCTTGCAGTGTATTTCCTTTTCCTGTCTTTCTATGGATACTACTCACATTCATCATCATCATGGCTAGGCTTCGCGAATGAAGATTTGGGAAAGGCTCTATCCACATTTGTTACAAGCATGTTGGTGGCTTATGAGGTCAATACGAGATACACATGTCCGATTGCAAAAGGCACAGCAGAAAGATTCCTTAGGTAGTAAATTCTGCAAGACACGGTTCTTTCTGCATTGTCTTTTCTCCTCGAGATTGATCCTGTGTGCATTCTCAAAGGAAGCAGCAGCGTTATAGATGGTATGTCTCCAGACCTCCCGACTGGAGGCCAGAGTAGACCAGTTATGTTGATCAATATGGCCAAGGCTGAGATGTTGCTTCAGGGAGTCCTTGTATCTCCCCTTCGGGGCTCCTCTCTTGCGGCAGCCGGTGGCAAGTTCACCATAAAGCAAGATCTTAGGGAGGCAGTGGTCCTTCATCCTTGAGACGTGCCCTGCCCAGCGCAGCTGTGTTCTCAGCAGCATGTCCTCAATACTTGTGACTGCTGCTTGTTCTAGAACAGATGTATTGGTCACATAATCTGACCAGTGGATGTTTAGGATTGTTCGGAGAGAGCGTTGATGGAAGTGTTCTAGGAGTCGCAGGTGGTGGCGGTAGATGACCCATGATTTGGATCCATATAAAAGAGTAGACAGCACTATGGCTCTGTAAACACTGATCTTTGTGCTTTTCTTCAAGTGTTTATTACGCCATACTCTTTTATGGAGTTTTCTGAAAGCACTATATGTCTTTGCTAACCTGTTGTCTATCTCTCCATCAATCTTACCATCCGAGGAGATGAGGCTACCTAGGTAATTAAACTGCTGGACTGATTTGAGCTCTGATTGGCCAATGGTGATATGGGCATGAAGGAAGACTTCCTGAGGTGCAGGTTGATGCAGAACTTCTGTCTTCTTTAAGCTGACTTCCAGCCCAAAGAGCTCAGCAGTGTCTGCGAAGCAGGATGTTAAACGCTGCAGAGCTGCTTCTGTGTGGGCAACAGGGGCGGCATCATCAGCATAAAGCAGCTCCTGGACAAGATGGTTTAAGGCCTTAGTGTGGGCCTTCAGTCGCCTTACGTTGAATAGGCTTCCATCAGTACGATATCGAATGTAGATACCATCTTGATCATCAAGGTCTGCCATGGCCCTTTGGAGCATCATGCTGAAAAAGATTGTGAACAGAGTTGGTGCAAGAACACAGCCTTGTTTCACACCATTGGTTATTAGAAAGGGTTCAAAAAGTGCATTGCCGTATCTGACTTGGCCATGCTGATCCTCATGAAGTGAGATGATCATTTTAAGGAACTTGGGGGGACATCCTAAACATTCCAAAATCTGCCATAGACCTTTTCTGCTCACAGTATCAAAAGCCTTTGTGAGATCAACAAAGGTTACATAAAGACCTTTGTTCTGTTCCCTACACTTCTCTTGCAGTTGTCTGAGAACAAACACCATGTCTGTGGTACTCCTGTTGGCTCTGAAACCACATTGGCTTTCAGGTAGAATTTCTTCTGCTATAGTGGGTATTAGTCTGTTCAAAAGTATTCTTGCCAGGGTCTTGCCAGCAATGGAGAGCAGAGTAATACCATGGTAATTTGAGCAGTCTGATTTAATGCTTTTCCTCTTATACAAAGTGATGATGACTGCATCTCGAAGGTCTGATGGTAGTTCGCCTAGTTCCCAACAGCGCACCACAAACTCTTGAAATTTAGCATGGAGTGCAAGGCCCCCATGCTTCCAGACTTCAGATGGAATTCCACCAACCCCAGCTGCCTTGCCAATTTTCACCTGTTGTATGGACTACTTACATTAAAACTATGGCAAAACAGAAGAGCTTTCTACTGGAATTTCGCAGTTCCAACTAATATGGTGACACTGAAATAAAATCAGCAAGTTCACTACCATCTTACTGGGTATTTGAGAAACAGATATCTGACACTACTACCAGAGATTAATTTAAGGCATTAAGAACTGGAGACTTTCTCATACTGGCTCTAAAAGATTTTTCAAATACATGCTAAGTGATTTCAAAGCCCTAAAAATACACATACAAAACTGACTTATTGAAAGAAATGTCATGTGTTGTGTTTTTATAGTGGACTAGTCAAGTTCTTGAAGATCACAAAAGCATGGAAGATTCCAACAAGCAACTCTCTAGTGAATGTTAAGCACATCTTTATAGAAAATACATATGCAAGTACATGGGTATCTGTGCATTATATGCAAAGGCATCATCATTTGCCTTCTGAAGATTTATATAGATTTTTTTCTACTAAATAATGATAAGAATATCTAACCTAGTGAGTTAGACCCCTATCGGGTCTGGATGAGGAGGAGCTTGTTTTCCCCACTGCAACTTTGTATTAGTGGCTAGAAAGGAGTTTGTATGACACACATGTTTTGGCAGCTGCTGAGCAGTGCTCATACAGAATCAGCACTGTCTCTCCAGCATTCCCTCTGCATCAGTAGGCTGGGGATGGGCAAGATCTTGGGAGTGGACAAAAGTGGAACAGCTGACCCTAACTAATATTCCTTACCACTTGACATCTGGTCAGCAATAAAAGCTAAGAGAAAGGGGCAAAGGAGAAGAGGGGAAAGGCAGTAATTACAGTGATATGACTGAGAAGGAACTGGGGCCCTGAGAATCCTGTCTGAAAGAACATTTTTTTCCACTTGGCATAAAAAAATCAGAATGATTTGCTTTTGACACAGAAGGTGGCATCTGTTTTGCTAAATATAAAGAGAACACAATAAAATGTGATGGATTAGTTTACAGTACTGAAATTTATTTACAGATTTATGGTGATGTGTTGTTGGACTACTTTTAACCACAAGAATTACCATGTAATCCCAAAGTCAATTAATACTTTGAGATTACAATTGAAACTTCCACAGTGAAGTTTACTGTAGGAATGCTGCTCTTATTTTAGTAGCAATTAATATTAACTCTTTATTTTATTTATGCAGGGATTTTAACTCTGCCCTAATGTTAGAATGAACTGGGTAGTTTCAAACCTAGCAAAAGAAATAGATGTTACCTCAACCTAATCTGTTAACCATAACTGTAGTTCACAGGCTGACACTGAATTTTATCATCAATACACTCAGAAAGATCTGCAAGTTTCTGCTGTTTTCACTACTTTGGCTAAGGTGAAGTGCAAACCAAAACTAATTCTTACTGTAGTAAGGTTATGCCACTTGGTATTATGTAGTGGGTTGGCTTTTGGATTTTTAGGCCTTCCTTAGCAACGGGGTCAGAAATCTAAGGAAGTATTTCATATCATCCTTTAGCACAACACCACATATAAATAAGGCAGAGTTAAGAGAGCTCACTCTCTTCTCTATTCTGGTGCCTGAAGGCAACAGGTCTTTGCTTGTACAGGCCAGAGCCTGCTTGCTCCAACCTGCCGTTACCTCTGTTCTCTTCGGGAGGCGTGGGGAGTTGGTTGGTGCTTCACACAGTTCTGCTGTCTCATTCAGGGAAGTATTTAATTTGGGTTTTTGTATTTATTTGCTATCTCTCTATTAACGGGATATTTGGAGGATTTTTTTTTAGTGCTTTTTATCCTTGTTTCCCCCTCCCTTTTCCTTCCCCCTCCCCCCCCGGGAGCTCCCTATCATATGTACAATATATTCAAATTGTATATACAATTGTAAATATACATGTAAATATATATTTTTGATATAATTCCATTTTGATCAGACCTCTTTCGGTTTTTCTGTAGTTCATTTTTTTTCCCTTGCTTGAGAGAGTGGGAGGGGGGAGGAGACAGCTCGGACTTGGCAAGAGAGAGCCAGGCCAAACTTACACACATTGGCAGGAGGTGACAGCTTCAGCCTTGTAACTTAACCCACCCAGTGTATTTGGAACAGTATTTTATTAACTAGTTGTTCAGCTGTATCCTTGTACCTCTCTCCACCTTGCAGACCTAATAAAATCAAAAGCCAGAGCAACTAGTGAAATCAAAATTAAACTACCTCTAATGTTCCTATCGAGAAATATTAGTTTCATTCTGAGTTTAATAATAAATTCAGTCCACCCTTGCTATTGTTTTCCCATTTAAGTAAAACAGAAGACTATCATATGATTTTAAAGTCACAAAAGCATCCAGCATAAACAAGTCTCCTCTCAGCCCCCTCAAGTGTTAGTCAAATATCTGAAACAGAAAGTGGGATGAAAAAAACCACAAAAGAGTACATTTGTTCTTTCTCATCTGAGTGCACATACCGAAATATATATTTTATATATATATATATATATAGGTATATATGTATGTATATGTATATACATACATATAGGTATGGGTATATATATACCTAAATATAGAATATTCACCCACCACTCTAAAATACAGCCTTGACAAAGCAAAGGTCAACCACTTCACTCCTCCTTGGGTTGTGGATTGCAATCAGCTGGCCTTTCATTGCAGATACACAGCTAGAGAGGTGTGCAACTCTTAATGATTCTGTTTCACTGTGCATCTGAAAAGACAGATTCAGTCTTGATATCAATAGAGGGGCCATTTAAACTACATACTGTCTCCCCAGCACTGGGCAGGCTATGATTTTTGGAATTCAGACCCACTGGAGACAACATAATTTCAAGGTCAGGCTTTGCACAAAACCAGAGTTACAGCCTCCAAATCCAAGTGAAATTCTGCAAGTGGTGACAGATTTCTGGAAGGAGATTAAGAAGCAGGGACTAAAGAGGCAGATTAAATCCCCTTTGACTGCTTTCCTGCCACAGAGTAAATCTACATATGATTTCTGAGGTGGGTGATTAATAGAGGGACAGGAAAATCACATTTGAGCAAAGCCAAGAAAAACAGCTAAATTTAATGGGACATTTGTCCAAGTAAAAGCAAGACTCTTTCTGGAAATATACTGTGCTACTCACCTGCTCAGAATGTAATGATTCCAGCTCAGAGCTCCAATTACAGACAGGTGGCCAAACATATCTTTCAACCTATTTCTAGTTTCAATCTTCCACAAGTGCCAATCCAAAACAAACAAGAAATTTGACATCAAAAAGGAAAAAAAATTGTTCCCTTGATTTGTTTACAAGCCACTGCCCAGTTCTGAGTTGACATATGGACAACCTGAAGTTCATTTATTTCACAAGTAAGACAACGAGTATTTCAGAATTTTGACACCTATATCAGTGATGTTGAAGTCAGACAGGATTGCAGTGGATACACATCTGTGAGTTTAAAGCTCTTTATTTTACATGTCAGTATTTGGGAGTTCATACATGGAAGCACTAGCCTTTACTACCTTCAGTTTGCTGACTCACGACTGTAACAGGTAGGTCCAGGTATTATCTAACACATAAGCCAAAGTCACAGGAAAAATTGTTATTAGCAGAACTTTTCATATGTGCTCTCCCACTTCAAACCACCCCCTCCCCCCTACAGTAATTAACTTTTTTTGCTTTCTTGTGTTTATTTCCCCCAAAAAAGTCTCCCCCCTCAACACTTAACCACAGGAAAAGGTTTTTAAAACGCACATGCTTTGATCACACCACAGCAAGCTCGTGACAGAACATTAACGAGAAACAAAAGCAAATAAAAGTATGAGAAAGAAGAAGAGTCATCCTTTGTGGTCATTGTCTACATTATGCTTCAAAGACTCCTAAATATAATAAAATTTTTAAAAATGCCAGCTCATTAGTACTATGAATCATTTAATGCTAGATTTTTATGTCTAGCATTAGCATTTTTATGGTTTAACTTCCTTTTTTGAATTATGCTCCAGAGAGGAGTAAATAGAATGAATATTAAAAGTTTCAAGGGCAGAAGATGTTACTTGTCTCTACAACCAACTTCTGTTCAAAAAAATTCAACACTGAAAAAGTTTTGTACTCTGTAGATTAAATACACACATAAACATCCTATATGAAAGTCCAATGACAAATTGTGGAGAACTTATTTTGTGCAATCCTTCCCTACTCTGTCCCAAACCTTGTCTCCTAATCCAAAATTCAGTTTTGACAGACAACAAGTGTTTCCCCTTTCAGTTGTGGTACTCCCTCCCTCTGAAGATGAGCAAGAAGCACACTAGGGTGATTTTCTTCTGTATCTAAAATTTTGTGCAGTTAAAAAATTACACAAGTTTTCAGGAAGGACTTCAGATCTGGCCAATGGGTTATGTAGCGCTTCATTCTAACCCTAAAAACGTCTAACATCAGTAAAATGAGATCTGGTTTACAGAAAAACCTGTACTTCTAACATCTAGACTTTTCACTGTGTTTGAAAAATTTTACAAAGCCTTCTTGAACCCAACGAAGTAAGATAATTCAAGAAAATTAAGGCATTTAATTGTCATATTCGATGAATAGCAACACTTCTGAAACACTGAAAATGTTTTTCTTCTTTAGCACTGGTAGTTGTCATTGTCCAGTGAAATAATAACAGATGAAATCATCTCTGTAACTCATTTCAGGTTTTTCTTCTCTCATCAGTAATTCATCTACCCCAAATCCATACTGATTGTCCTTTTAGCTATATTCACCTACTTCAAGACACATGACTGTGTATAACAGGCTTTTTCATTAGTGGAAATTAAGTTTCATTACACTATTTTGTGTTATTTTGCCTGAGTACTAGTGGACATCACTAACTTTTGATAAGATTTTGGCTCTCACGTGCCTGTGTCAATTCTCAAAATGAGACTCAGGAAGTGATAAGTGATACTGTCACACCAAACTATTTGATTAACAAATGGGTGCATGAAATCAAACCTGGTATTCCTGATGCCCATATTCATTTGCCATTAGGGGTAAAAAACACTGACTAGTTCCTTGACTGCTCTGAAAGGAGGCTTATTTGCACAGAGAAAAGAAACAAAGGAAAATATAAATCTATCACATATCCCCCAGCTGTTTCTACAGGAAGCAAAATCCAGATTCATGAAGAAGTTGGTTTTTACTGCTTTCACATGAGAATGAAACAGGCCCTGACTCGCAAGAACCCATCATACAGAAGTAGCCAGATCACCAAAACAAATCATCTGCCCAAGACAGAACACAACAAAATATTGGTCTGATATTTAATGAATTGTCTCACACTCAAATAAGTATGGGAATACTTGCATTATTTCACAGGTTATCTGTTCAGATTACCCCTGTTTTCAAATTACTTGATAATCCACACTTCATGTTCATTCATTCCTAGGATACTTTACGGAGCAAAATAATCAACTCCCCCACAGATGAAACCAGAGGCAGTGCTAGAGACAGTTTGCTCCAGTTACCTTTCCCTACAGGTTAGAACAACAAGGCTCCACAATCTCTGCATGTCTTGCACTTTCATGTGCCCAACAGTCCATATGATGCATATCCTCTCCCATTCTGCAGCACAACCCAATACTATTTGTAGGGTTCTGAAACAAAAAAGCTGAAAGGAAACGAATGTTTAAGGGCCATCAGTACATCCGATGGGACCCAAAAGATAGCCAGGTAAAATACTAGGGGTTAACTACACTGAATGAGCTGGAATACTATCTGTTCAGAGGTTGTGAGAGCTCTAGAAAGAAGCCCTGAGCAGTTAAATCTCAGCCACTTCGTATTATCCTATAACACTTGCTGGAACAGTTAGATGAACCTTTCCAGTGTAGATGCAAATTCCCCTTTCTTACTGTTCAGTGTGCCTGAAAATGTTTGCTCTATACACATACCTTTGCAGATGCAATTGGCATTTTCACAGACCTTCACACCATTGCTTCCTTCAATGCTATCTCCAACCTCTTGGACTATTGGAAGCTAGAAGCACTTTTCTGCCAATGCATTGAAGTGAAAACATGGCTGAATGAAGAATTCCATTGTAAAACATATTTAATTACCAGTCCCATCAAAGGGCTCAACATTCTTTATATGAAAGCTTCAAAAGAGTTTGTGTCTGGGATGGGAGAACAATAACAAATACAGAATACCAGTGTTGAAATCATGTGCTTTAACTTCAGGGACTTGAGACGTCTTTCCTCCCATAAAACACCAATTCATTGCTAATGAACACAGAAACTTTAAGAAAGCTGTTTGAACAAGGCCGCCTTACCAGAGAAAGAAGTTCCAGGCCTGTACATCTGGAGTAGCTACCACAGGTCACCTGTCAAACCCTACTGCCCTCTTGTCCTCTTCTGAATTGGCACTTGGGCTGATGCTGCCAACATACAGTGACATGCTTTCTGCATGTAGCCAACAAGTCTTCGAGGGAAGGTCAGTTTTGTGGTGCATACACTGCAGGGTCATTGATTCCAGCATGAGACCTACTGGATATTAGAGACCCTCAAACCAGTGTCCCAGACACTGGACTCCATGATGCCATTCCTTAAACCAGTATTACAATACGAAACTGAAAATAGGTACAAGGTATCTCCAAGGAATGAGATCTTCTAAATTACATTAGCATTTCCTTAGGTATCAAAGAAACAGATGACGCAGCAAAAATGAAAAAAGGGAGATATGAATTGCTATTGGAATATTTTTTTTATTTTTTTTTAAATAGTTAGGTTAGGTCTTTAATCAAGATTTGGACAAAGGCCCAGATCAGCTCACATGGGACATGACCATAGCCATCAATTCCTAGTAATATTTATTTCTTCACAATGTTCACTTAGATGAATGCTCTGATTCAGGTTTTCTGCTTGTTCTGTAATCCTTTGTTTATAGTAATGTAGAAATGCAGCTGATGTTTTCACCAGCCACTCAGGATCAGTAAATTTTTTCTCCAATGTCTGCAAAATCCACCCTTCCAAGCACAGTCTGTATTACTCTTCTTCAAAACCCTGCTGCAATAATGACAAGAAATGTCTTAGAAAAAATATAACTGAGAAAAAAAAAAAGTGTTTCTTCTTTATATATTCCATCTGTTCTACAGTGGGCCTTCAGTTTTGAGAGGCATTTTCTGTAAGACTTACACAGATAACTTGGCAGAAAGCTAATTACATAGCTTGGATCTGTGTCCCTCCAAAATAAGTGCAGACATTTCTGTGGAAAACTCATTGTGTATACTAGGAAGTAATATTTTAGCCCACAGAGAGACCACACACGTTCACTGGTATGTGAGAAGATTTTATTCTCAATGGATCCCATCCCTTTATACTACCAGGCAACACAAAGTAAATAGTCATTAATTACTGTATCTAAGAAGATTAATGGGTTTTTGTATGTGTTTAGCCAGGACTGACTTTCAAATGGTTTTAGGAAGAACTCAGGTTTTGGTCATGCTACAATGTGTCGCCAAGACCCCCACATCACAACCTAGAAAATGGTTGTGGTCCTTGATGTAGCACAATGAATACTTTAGCTCTAATTCAACTCCTACTTGTAAATTACAGTATCGTTCTAGGTTTACATAGAATCATAGAATATCCTGAGTTGGGAGAGACCTACAAGGATCATTGAGTCCAACACATGGCCCTGCACAGGACAATACCAAGAATCCCACCATGTGCCTGAGAGCATTGCCAAATGCTTCTTGAACTCTGTCAGGTTTAGTGTTGTGACCACTTCCCTGAGGAGCCTCTTCCATCCCAACCATTCTCTGGGTGAAGAACCTTTTTCTAATATCCAGCCTAAACCTCCCCTAAAACAGCTTTGGACCACTTCCTTCGGTCCTGTCACTTTTCACCAGAAAAGAAATCACTGCCTGTCCCTCCACTTCCCCTCACAAGGAAGTTGTAGACTGCAAAGAGGTCTCCCTTCGTGTCCTCTCTCAGTGTCTTCTTCTCCAGGCTGAACAAACCAAGTGACCTCAGCCATGCTTCATGCAGCTTCCCCTCTAGGGCTTCTTTGTGATATAAGTCACTTGACTGTAGGGATGAAAGACTGACACACAGTCCTGTACTGGGAACAGTGCTGTTTAATATCACCATCAACAACATAGACGATGAGACTGAGTGCACCCTCACCAAATTTGCAAACGACACCAAGCCGAGTGGTGCAGATGACACACCTGAAGGACAGGATGCCATCCAGAAGGACCTGGACAAGC